AAAATTTTGTCTGCTGCTTTTCTGGCCTGCTCCTTGTCTGCAAACAGGTCTTGCAATGCTTGCCGAAATCCAGCCACCCACAACCTCTGCGCCCAATCAGACATCTCCATACCTTGCTTGCTGGAGGTAGAGGTGCACCATTTCAATGCAGTCCTCTCCAGACGAGCAAGGATGGCTGACGCTTTCACATCCTCGTCACATTTGAACCCACTCAGGTAGGTTTTTGTGCAGTGACCCAATTTGCAACATCCACCTGAGGGTCCTGGCCAGAGAACATGGGTGGAGGGGTCAACTTAGGCCGCTGCTGATCGAATGAAACTGAGGGTTGCGAAGCGGCTGTTGACTTGGGTGTAGAAGATGGGGATGTGGGTCTGGATTGTGGGAGTTGCTGAGGGCCTGCTTGAGAAGCCCCAGGGGATGGAGGCAAGGTCAGGGTGGTAGGGATCTTCAAATGAGTAAAGATCTGATCCCGTTTGGCAGAGATGTCATCCAACTTTAAAAAAAAAGTCGAGTGGCTGCTCTCCAGACTGGTAATCCAGTCGTCCCAGTTAGTAAAATAAGAACGGTGAATATCATCCTACAAGAGGATAAATTCAGCGATGTCCTTGTTCTACTGACGGGAACTACCACTTGTCCTGATTTTCTCCACTTCTGCAATCAGCAGCTTTCTCCTGGCCTCCTTCCGATCTGCTACTTCTTTCTTCTTCAGCTCAGCCTTCAGGGCCTGTTGGTGGAGTCTCTCCTCCTTGGCCCGTAGTTCAGCCTCTAAAGGGTCAAGCGGAATCCGAGGCTTCACATCAGAAGCCTCTCCCTTCTCAGCCTCTGGCATCTCCACAATTCAGATAAATAAAAATAAAAACAATTAACAGAAGACAATTAGCAGTTTTCTCTCGAGTACTGACTCAATTGCTATCACCTGCCTGAAGAGAGGAAGTTAGTTAGTCTGAGCAAGCAAGTGCACAGTCTCAGCAGACTGCTCGAGGGTCGGGGTCAGTTTTAGAGTACACTCAACAGAAATCCATTTTACGATTTTCCTATCACTGCCCTGAACCAACAATTGCATGCAATAATTGCAAATCATGCATCCATAGCTGACAGGATGCGGTCTTGGACTGATTAGTGTTGATTAGTAGTTACACATAGTGACTAATTATGGATGGACAGGTGTCCACTGATAACCAAGATGCAGCGATTTACAGGTAATCCTATTTTTAGACCTACCCTGCAGACTTCACCACTGTATGACCCTGTATGCCATACCCTTGATATGGCGGATTACAATTTTCACTGTAACTGACTCAGAACTTCACATCCGGATGTGCAATTTCAGGTAAACTTTTTATACTGAATTGCGAATTACCAGGGACTGACATAATTGAATTCTGACGAACGAAATTGAATTTATGACTGACCCTTGTATAGCCGAGCTTCAGCTATGTCAGCGCAGAATTCAAATTTGCATTATCACTGACAACAGGACCTTGAATTCACCAATTCACTACACAGTATAAATCGCAATACTATAAAGCAGTCACAGATGAAATTTGAGTCAGGAAGGAGGTCAAACAGGGTTAGTAGAAGTCAAAGAAGATAGGTAGGGGAAGTAGGATATGGCTGTTCCACAGTCTGAATTTCGATTTTCAACTGTCTACTAACTGTTAGACCAAATTTCACTGCTCTAAAAATAGACCCAGAATCGCCTCAAAGAGTAGAGTAAGGAACACACTTACTTCAAGCTCAACTCTGAAGAAGATGAGTGAAACTTGGCCTATGGCTGTCTGGTCAACCCCATCTCGCCAGCTCCACCTCTTGTTGATTCCCAGTGTTCCCACGTATCAAATCTCCTGCAACTTGGTGATTCAGCAATATACCCTATAAGGCGCTTCACCCCCAACTGACAGGTTCATCGAATTTGGACTCCCAGGTGCAGATAACTGACAAATTCAGTGCAGCGCCACATCACCCTGTACTACGCTGCTGGAAAATTGGGGATCCTAACCCAATTCCACAATCACAACCTCTTGGGATCGCTTGTTAATTGCTAGTCTCCAGATGAATCGCAAGGCCAAAAATAGCCTCTCAGAGCCTCTCTGGCCTCTGAGCACCAATCGCCAACCACTTCTGCACAACCCTAGTCAGGAGCGAATCGCCCTCTGTCCAATTCTTCTCGCCACACACTCACCACCACCACCCTTACTGAAAACAACCCTGAAGATGATGACTCACCATGAAACTCAACTCCAGTATCTCGCGAGATGATGATGGTTGCTCCAACTCATCAATCGCTCCAGTGTCTGGATCCAATCGCTCTGATACCAAACCGTTATGATTTTGGTTGTCTGTTGTCTGAAGACCAACACTCACTCACACAGAGTCCCAGGTATGCCCATACGTACACAAAAGGAAGGGGCGAGGATAGGAGTATCACCACACGCAGGGAGAGAGAGATAAACACAGAGGAAGACTTGACCATCCGATATGACAGGGTACACTGAAAGTGCAATTCACTCCACTCAATCCTCACAACCA